GTCTTGGCCAACGGAGGGACGGATACACACTGGGGGTGCGGGAATAAATTGCCAGAGGAACATTTCAGGTCTGGCTTCCTTCGGGTTCAGTCCAAGCAATTCACAGTCGGTATCGGAGACCTTCTTGAACAGATTGAGAACGCGGAGGGCATTCATATCATCCTGAGCCTTCTTGTAGTGCTTCTCTACCTCTGCGTTGGAAGTCCTAGCTTCATCGAAGGAACGGTCAAAGACAATCTTGCTGGGCGGTGGAACCTTTTTCACTGATGTTGACACGTTGAATGCACGGAATTTATCGTGTGTGATCTTGAGGGCACTGTTACCAGCCTTTTTGACCACACCATTGACAGCACCACACGCCTCACAGGTCCGCGTCTTCCGGCAGCGTTCATTGATGCGTTTCGCGATCTGTAGCCGTCGAAGATTATCCAACCCCGGTCGACGCATCTCGCGGAGAAAAGCACGTCGCTCTGCCTCGGGCAACAGAATGCGCGAACACTCCTTGCAGATCTCCTGCAGAATGCTGATAACACGTTTGAAGTATCCGACATGAAAGGCAGGTAGGACGAGTCTCACGTGGCCGAAATGACCGTTGCAGACCTGAAGGGAGCCACCGCATGTCTGGCAAGTGGCGGTCTTGCTCGAGATACCCATGCGCCCATCGAGAGGACCGTGTGGAACCACCGCTCTGTCATGTTCGAGATCGAAGAATTTCCGATCGGAGACCTCCACAACAGCTTGACTGACTATGTCGTCGTTGGACCTGTTTTAGCGAATCAATAATTAGTCACAATCATCCAGTACTATGACAGCAAGTCTCTGAAAGCGGAACAAGAGCATTCATACAGTACACCGAATTTTAGTTCTTTTATAACTTTGGGAACGCGGTCTATGACCTGGGCCTTGCCCAGGTCGACCTGCACACCTTCTGGAGGCTGCATTGCCGTTGTCAAGAGCTGATCATGGCAATGAGCCAGAGATGACTAAACCGAGTTGCAGACGGCAACGCTGTGTAAATTCGGCGCGTATATTATGCTCCAAATAGTAAGAGCTCCGTGATAAAGACAAGCGAAGCCGCTGCGATGGTGAACCTCGACCGGAAAGAAGCTGAAGAGAAAAGGCGACCGTTGGAGGAGAAATTGCTCAAATCATTGCGGCGGCGGGGTCGGCGACGAACTTTTTTGCGGCCAGAAGCTCCAGCTCCGGCCCCTCAAGGTTCTGACCAATCAACATCCAGAACTTCATCCAAGATGGAGATATTGATAGGTAGTTTGCAGATACTGTAAATGTGCAGTAGATATAGACAGGGGTATATATTGAACGATAAATATAAATAGATATACAACATAAACAAGATAATATTATTATACAGATGCGGAAGCATTTCAAGTCGTTTATTTGGCGAGGAAAGCCTGGAACGCCTTGTGCTCAATCACCACGTTTCCAACAGCCCTGAGTCTCTTTCGTCCCTCTTTCTGCTTCTCCAGCAGTTTTCGGCGCCGACTGACATCACTAGCATGGAGCTTGGCCAAGACATCTTTTCGATAGGGTTTGACAGTTTCTCTGGCGATGATCTTTTTACCGACAGCAGCCTGGATCACGACCTCGAACAGTTGTCGATCGACATGCTCCTTGAATTTTGTCACCCATTGTCGTCCGAGCCTTTCCACTTGGCTCAAGTGGACGAGGCGAGCAACAGCATCGACAGGCGCCTTATTAACCAAGAGTTGTAGCTTGACGATGTTCCCTGATTGCCAAGCAGATTCCTCATAGTCCAGGCTTGCGTAGCCTTTGGTGGACCCTTTGAGCTTGCCAAAAAAGTCATCGACCAGTTGAGCAAGAGGCAGCTCATACTTAAGTATAACCTGCGTCGCTGTGAAATACTCTAAACTCTTCTGCTCACCTCGGTTTGCCTCACAAAGTTCAATGACCTTGCCAAGGTACTCCTCGGGGAAGGTCAATGTAGCCAGGACGTAGGGCTCTTGAATCTCAGCCACCTTGGAGCGCAGTTCTTCGTCTTCCGGGAATTTGGCAGGGCTGGTAATGATCTCTTCTTTTCCGTCCCTCCAAATGATCTTGACGGGTACTGATGGAGGTGTGATGATGATGCTAGCACCGTGCTCCTGACGTAAGCGATCCTCAAAGACAGAACAATGCAGTGTGCCTAGAAATCCCAGTCTGAAGCCTGCGCCAAGAGCCTCTGACGACTCCTTCTGCACCGTGATACTCCTGTCGTTGAGAACAAGCTGGTTGATACTGTCTTCCAAGTGCTCAAAGTGGTCTGCATCCACCGGGTAAGCCGCCACAAAAACCATTGACTTGGGCTCCTCAAAGCCCGGAAGCGGCTCAACAGCTTTCTCGAACCCGACCCTTGTAAATGTGTCACCAATCTTCGCTTCTTTGCTTCGTTTCATACCAGGATTGAAATAGATGTATCCGACTTGGCCGGCACGGAGCACGCTCTGTGGTGTTTCGTTTGGATACATGATGCCAACTTCGCCAACGTAGTACTTCAGACCTGTCGCAAACGACACGACCTGCTGACCCGCTCGAATTTCACCGTCGAAAATACGGACCAGACAGATTACGCCTTTGTAGGAATCGTACCAGGAGTCGACGAGTAACATTCGCAGGGGCTTCTTGCAATCGCCAATAGGGCTGCTGGGAGTCAGTAGCGGAAGCAGCTTATGAAGATAAACAGGGGAATAGCATACGCTGGAATCTTCTCAATGACTGTCGGGAGTAGTTTTTCAACATTGAGTCCCGTCTTAGCTGAAACCATCACTGCGTTCTCGGTGTCGAGCTCGAAGGAATTCTTCATCTGCTCAAGAGCACGCTCTGGTTCAGCGGACGGCAAATCTACCTTGTTGATGACTGGAATCAATTCCAAGCCCTGCGCAAAAGCGAGGTAAAAGTTTGCAACAGTCTGTGCCTGAATTCCTTGACTGGCATCGACCAGGAGCAATGCACCTCCGCAACTAGCATAACTGCGCGATACCTCTGCACGGAAGTCCACATGGCCTGGAGTATCAACCAGGTGCAATAAATAGTCTGCACCATTGTGATTGTATATCATCGAACAGGTTTGCGCCTTCACGGTGATGCCGCGTTCCCGCTCCACGTCAAGCTTGTCCAACACTTGTTTATTCGAGCCGGGCTCAATCGTTCCTGTGAGTTCGAGCAGGCGGTCGGAAAGTGTGCTTTTGCCATGGTCAACATGGGCAACAATACAAAAGTTCCGGTATCGCTCGATTGGAATCGCTGCTATTCTGTTCTCGAGGTCGGATACCGGTTTCGTAGCGGTTGATCTCGCACCGGCGCGAGAAGCGGAGCTGGTGAAAAATCGGGGAGCGTTAGCAAGGACAAATGGCGCCCTGATCAGACTTGCAGCTGTGCCTTTCGGTGCAGCGCTCAGCCATCTGGCTAACTGCAGGCATCCTCGCATCTGGAGTACTGCAATGGCATGGGAATGGGATGCCTTTTTAGATGAGGATTTGAGCTGTCGACTGCCGATTCCGAGAAAAAAAAGTGCGGCACCGAATCACTTGCTGCGGAGAAAAAGTGCTGAGCCACGGGCGGTGGAACGCCGGATTGCTGCGGTGACTATCGAGGTAAACAAAAGCTGCCTCATTTTTGATCAGTCAAGAGACCCCACGAACGAGCAAACATCCCATCTACAACCCGGAGTTTGATTAAAATACGCTGAAAATGTCGGCAACGAAAGATAAATCCAAGGTGCACAAGCTCTCCATCAAAGGTGAGACTCGGATTTGGCGTTTGTTGATTGATTCTCGAAGCTCATCACACCCATTTATGACAGGGTCAGCGAAGCTCGTGGCAGAATTCGTGAGTCCATTCCATCGATTCATAGGGGTTCTAGAAAAAGGACACTGGTTGACAAGATTTAGTTTGAATACTCGATAAACTCCATCCTGTATGTTGATGTGCACTAGAGGATGGGTGCAACGCATGCTAATCGCTGTGGCTCCTAGGTTTCAACGAGGGGTATATCCACCAGAAGACTTTACAACGTCAGTTCACGCCAGCCCACGATAGCGGTAGATGATTCACTCTAATGCGGATACAGTGTTAAGAAATATGGTCTCAATATGCTCGGTTGGTGCATTACCTCGCTACCCACAACTCTCGCTGATCAGTCCAGTTACCGCCGACGACCAGGTCAAGGCCTACATCAAGAAGATTATGTCGCAGTTAAACAAGTGGATGCTTGGAGGCAAGATATCGAAACTTGTTGTGGTGATCACAGATAAGGAGACTGGGGAGCACGTCGAAAGATGGCAGTTTGACGTAAGGCAGCCTCTTCATTGAATGGATTCGCGCAGAGGCTGATTGGCGTTTGAATATCATCAGGTCCAAATATTCGGAAAGCATACCAAGAGCCAAACTTCTCGAAAATCTGCTGATAAGGAGAATGCCACTCCGGGGTATGTCTGCCTCTTCTTCCCACGTACAACATCAACGATACTAATGAAACCTTCTCTTGTACAACAGAGACACGGAGATGCAAGATTCGACCGCAGTTGAGAAGACAGAGAAAGAAATCCAGGAAGAGATACAGGCTATATTCCGCCAAATTACGGCCTGTGTCACTTTCCTCCCAGTTCTGGACGGAGACTGCACATTCAACGTCCTCGTGTACGCTGACGCAGACTCGGAGGTGCCCGTCGAATGGGGCGACAGCGATGCCAAAGAGATTAAGAATGCCGAGAAAGTGCAGCTGCGAAGCTTCAGTACGAATAACCACCGAGTGGAGACCCTGGTCAGCTATCGCCTGGCCGAATGACCGCTCATTGTCCAAATTTGCGTAAATTGTTCTTACAGGATGGCGTTCTGGAAAGGGAGTTACACAGCTGGATTACCTACACTTTGTGATGGCTTTCAATATCTTCTTCCTTTAATGCAAAAACGATGTGGAATGTCCTTTGGAAAACCGTAGTGACTACACAGTATCTACATTTCATGTGAAGTACAGATGACGCTCAATACCAAGGCAGCTGATCCAGCTTCGGAAACAACTCATTACCGCTCATTCCTCCATGCCAACTAATAAGCTCCTCAACGACTTCCTCCAACTCCGTATCAACAAATAGTTCGTCTTCCATGCTAGGCTTCCATCCTCGTTTAACCCTCTTCGCTGCCAGCTCCTCGCCGACACCATACGGATCCCGTCTCCACAGACCGATTCCACTCTTCTCTTCCCCTGAGATCAATGACGCCAGGGGCGTTACTTCTTCCGGAGGATTGATCCCAACGACAGTTCCAGAGCACGAATCTTGTCCCCCACTCTCACTGAAGGACGTCCTCAACCCGAGAGCCGGAAAATGACACTCAGTGAACCGCTGGCGCTTGAACTCGTGCGTAACAACAGTTATTTTTCTGGGATACGTTCCGACGTATGATCTGAATCTGAGCAGAGAGAAAAGCACATTCTGATAGGAGTCCGTAGCATTGGTTTCGGCTATGACTCGATCAGGATCGATCCTGGAAGAGTACGAGAAGAAATCATTATCTTTGGCCAAATTCTGTCGGGGGATGTCAATTCATGTCGCTTTTGCGCTGGGAAGAATCATAGTCTCACATGATATGAAGTGCCTTCTGCTATGTCCGTTCTGTCTTTCTTTGTTGGACCTCTGGAAAAGGATCAGCTACTACAAACCCACCGATGCCAGCTACTAGTACTCTAACAAAAGGGAAGGCTTACCCCGAAAACACCAACAGTCCATACGGATGGTCCGCCAACACCCGAAGACCAGCCTGAACATGTGCGGTGAATGTGGGCGTTTCACCCCTTTGGAAAGGTTCAATCAACCTACCCATAGTGGTCATGGTTAGCACGCGAAAGTGTAGATTATACAGTGTAGTATAGGTGGGCATGAAATTATGGGATTCCCTGTCGCTTGGAACAGCCACTCGACTCATCTCACCATTCATCCTCGGAGAGTCCCTTTGTAGGGCCACCAATGTATATCGCATGACAGCAAACGATAATTAAGTGATTGCAGGCTGAAATTCGAGAGCTTCGTGGCGTTTCCATCGCTTTTAGCCATGAGTTTGGAGCGTGGAAACACTGAGAGTTTTGGTCGACAAGGCTATCGATAAGAGGATGCTGATTTGGAGATGTTCAGAAATGATGCGGCGTACTGAGACATCGGACTTTACTCGACTATATAAAAGCCAGACCTCTTATCCGAGAGCTCAATTAACACTAAATAATCAAGGTACACCTTCGGAAGAGGTACTTCTACTTTGTATTCAGTAGGCAAACTTAATATGAGAAGAAAAGCATGGAAATTGAGCGAATAATCTATCGTACAGTACACGTTTATGTGTTTATGGGACAATTGAAAAAGACCCGCCCAGAGATATGAGATATGATGGTGCCCGTAGAAACAAGTCACGAAAGGAATCAGAAAAGCATCACAAAACTCCATCTCATGACCATATCATGACCCTATGTGCGATGCTCAGATGAGAAACATGACGCTGACCTGACAAATGCGAAGGTGGGGAAAGAACCACCGCAGAATGAACACCGTGGCTCACATCCATTGTCAATGTGCAGCCATAGTAAAAATAAAAGGACATCAGAACGATGAGTTAAACTGATGCAAGAATTAAGGCCCTGCGCCGTCAGTGAGATAGATCTTTCCGGAGGGTATCATAAAAAGAGAGTAGCAAAGGAACGGAATCAATTCAGAGGATCATGGCGGAAGGTGCAGTTGTCACCCTTGAGACACTTTCCTTCGCGCCAGTATCGGCAAGGGACTAATCCAGCCTTTGGCTGTTACAGAGTCAGCGATATATTTGCTGTGAATCAGGTCTCGGCATGATACTTACGTGCTTCTTGTTTGGTGCTCCAAACTTGCTTCGCTTGGCGTAGCCAAATCTATCATCACCGGATTCTTCGGAACCATCCGTGTCACGCGTACGCTTGCGATCCGAGTCTTCATAGTACTGACCAGAAGGTTGAGATGAACCAGCCTGCTGGTTTTGGTTGGCGAATTGTGAGATTATGGCAGCGAGATTCGGCGCCATCGCCGGTTGCGATGGTGGGACTTGGGGTACAATAGGCGCCGGCGGCATCTGTTTTTGTGCACTCATGACAGCCAATATTTTCTGGAAATCGAGGCCCTGCGTTGCCGGTGCCTGAGAAACGGATGGGAACTGGGGAATTTGTGGAACTTGAGGCTGCTGCTGGCGGAACATGCTGATAGTACGCTCCAGGTCAGACATGGGCGCCTGTGACGCAGGCTGAGGCGGCGGCGGGGGTGGCGGCGGAGTAGACTGTTGCTGCGATGCATTCTGGATGATTTTAAGCAAGTTTGAGATGTCGAATTGGTTGGTTTGAGCAATAGGCGGCGCAGCCGCAACGGGGGCCGGTTTCGGGTTGACCGCTGAGTAATATCGCTCTTGTCGAACCTAGAAACATGAATATCAGAAGCCCGTACAAAGTTGCCGACGAGGAAGAATTGGATGTGTTACTTTGATGTGATCCGGCAATTCTCCAAAAGAAGTCACTTCAGTCATAGGTTCATCAGCGTCGGTCTGGGGTGGCTCCTTTGGCGAGGGAGGAATATCCGCAGGCGACGTGTAAAAAACCATGAGCGTGGTAGCTTCCCGATGATCCTGAGCCTGCTTCTCGGGACTAGAAGGCTCTTGCGTGCCACCTCGTTTGATGTAGTTTCTGGAGCGATCGTCAGATGTCATATCGCCTTTGTCAATTTCTAGATTCCGTTAGCAAACATCCCATAACTTGCGTCAATACCGGCTTACCCGACGGCTCTGTATAGTCCATCAAATTCTCTTCACGAATGACGCCATCATCGTCATCTTCCAAATCTTCAAGATCTCTGTGCAGTTTAAGGGCACTACCCTCTCCTTTGATGTCACCAATTTCTCCCTGCGATCGATCACCCGGTCCTAGCTCCTCGTCAGGGTCGTGGGTGAAGAGACGGACTTCCGTAAGAGACTCGTCAGGTTTCCACGTAACCCGCAATTTTCTTCGAGCCTCCTTGCGAAGTCGCTTCTGACGTTCTTCTTCGGATTCAGGGGGTCGGTCCTCAGCAGGCTCAACTGATTCAGATTCCTTCTGCTTGTTAAGATCTGCCATAAGATCGCCGAAGGAGAAAGTGGGTCTAGGAGGTGGCGTCTGAGTTTCTCTCTTTTCGGCCGGAKGGCTGATTATTGTTAGCATCATTTGTGAAGTCCCACATACAGGAGCTTCGCGTTCTGCGTACCTTGTTTTCGCCGCGGCGGCCGCCGCTGCCGCGCGCTCCGCATTCGATGTGCCCGGTCGTTTGGAAGCAGAGACCAAGCTGCCAAAGAGGCTTGTAGGCTTGGGAGCGATGATGTTTGCCTTCGGACGCGAGACAGCTGCAGCAGATTTGTTCTCCTGAACTGTCTCTTGTGGGCGTTTGACCGAACCATTAGTGGTAGCATTGCCCGCCTTTGCACTAGGCTTGATATTGGATGTTACAACCATCCGCTTCGAAGCAGCCTGGCCATTGGTTTCTCCCTCCCGAGGCCTCTTCGAACCAGCGATTTCGGGGCGGGAATTATTATGTGCTGGTTCAGAGGCAGAGCTCTTGATCGCCGACCCCTCTTTCGCTGCGGGCTTAGTCGCCTCCTGTTTTCTTTTCGTGGAAGCAGCAGCATTATCTAGGATCTTCTGAGAGAGTTCTTTGACAGTGGGACCCCCTTTCTTCACGAAACGGGGTAGGAGTTTGGCAATATTGGTTTTATGGAGTACCTCCTCGTCCACGGTGCCAAAGCGTGCGAGTAACTATATTTCAAACGCTCTTAGTCCCTATGTCGAACCGGATGCCTAAATAAAGACGGGAGATGTACCTTGAGTATATTAACCGTGAATGCTCCATCCACGTCGGACGCTTGATGTCGATCTAGAAGAAAGGAATACATGGCAGCGAGCGCCATTGGATGTTCTCCCAACCTGGACCCCCATGTTAGCCATTCAGAACCCGGAAATGCGTAATTGTTAAATGCCAGAGATTTGGAAAGAATCCGAAGTACAGGCGACAGATCCAACCAACTCTGACGGGTCAAGGTTAGTTTCGTTGGCATTTCAGCGCTTCCTCAAGATCGATATTAAGAGCCCAGTTGAGAACCACAGAAAGGGATTTTATCCTTCTGGTCCTCGGGCACAGAGCGATTAATCGCTCGTACTAAAGATCATCTTCTAAGAAGGCTTCCTGACCATCGACGCTAATTGATTACGGGGGGGAGATTTCTCGATTCGCTTCTGACTTCTAAGGCCATAACGACGAAATGCCAGAAGAACAAGTGAAAGGAAAAGATAAAGGACATACTTCTCAACGATAGCCGGGTGGCCTTTTTCAAGAGTGGTACTGACAACCACATCCATCAGACGACGTTGCAGGACAACATCCTTCTTGAGCTGGGCTGCTTTGTCGGTTTCATCCTTGTTCTCCGCCATCTTCATCGCTTGACTGCTTTCTTTCCACGCATCCCTCACACGTTTGACAACGTCTTTAAATGCAACTAGAGCATTTTTGACCTTATCAGCATTGGGTCTGCGATTGCGTGGCGACCAGACGGCTTGAAGAGTATCGTATTCCACGGCAGCCTCCGGTTCACTGGGTCGCGTCGCTGGTATGGGGGATGGCTCTTCGGGAAATTGAATTTCAAGGTCGGAGTCATCAGAAGTCTCGCTTTCCGATGCCGAAGACTTCTTCGCAAGAGTTGTTGATTTCTTTGACACTGTCTTCGTGCGAGCTTTCTTCTTCGGCGGTTCAGTTGGTTTTATCTGCAAAGTCGAGTCTACAGAATTTTGACCTGAATATTATTGATATTAGCTATTAGTACAATAAGGCTACCATGAAGGCAGATGGAGAGGAAAACCCGCGGACAACATACCGTTGACATGAAAAGTTCCTTCAAAAGCATTTTGACCGGGAATAGGTCGATTATTACTCGTACTCTGACCCATAACAGGTGGCACTTGCAAGTCATTCTCGAAGAAGTTAAACAGCCTAGCACCGACTGTAAGCTGATGGCCTTTACTGGAAGAATTTAAGAGGGTTGAGAACTTACTTCCCATCATCGGCCCGGCCATAGTCAGCTGAATTCACGTACAGGAAAGGGTTTTGGAGAGAAGAATTTTGATTAGAAGACTGCTGTGCAGGATTAAGAATCTGAGGATTGATGGTGGGGTCGTCAGTAACGTTCGTAGCTGGCTCAGCATAATTGGTGATGAAATTCATCTACTGCATGTCAGTGACACGTCCTTAAGATGATGAGTCTTTTGTATTCCTACCGAGTTCCCTTCGGAGTATCCGGGAGGAAGTGAGTATGATGCAAGAGGCGTTTGATGTGCGACGGGCTGGTAATGATTTTGCTGGGAAGTCTGCGATCGAGGGGCCTGCGGTGAATTTGATTGAGGAAAGGCATCCGGAAGCGACATGTGCTGAGAAGAATAAAAGTTCTGAGGGAATGAGTAGGATTGATATGGAGGATTGTCCGTTGCAGGGAGTGGCCGTGAATCGAACGTCACCTGGCCTGGAGGATATCGATGAACCTGATGGTACTGAGTGGGCACCCCAAGACCTTGTGGAGCTGGCGAAAGTATTTGTTGTTGTTGCTGATGATGGTGTTGTTGTAGTGAATTCTGTTGCCACGACTGGGGAGTTGACGAGGAATAGATGCCATGGTCATGCTCTTGATGTGACGGTACTTGCGTCCTTTGCTGATGCTGTTGACTGAAGATCGGATGGTCCCAGCTGATCCCCATTGACTGAGTTTGTTGCTGCGGCTGTTGTTGTTGTTGCCGATGTTGTTGTTGCTGGTGCGACTGATGCAGCTGCTGTTGGGTTGGGTGTGGATGTTGGTGTGGAGGATCCGGACCAGGGTATAACGAATCCAGATTGTTCCAATATTCAGACTGAACTGAACCAGGAGTTACTGAGCTGCGATGCAAGCCAGGCATCATGCCCTGTGGCGAGGGACGATCCATTTTGGGCTTAATCTGCCCGTTATAGCAGACGTTGACTTCGATCGCAGGTTGTAGTTGTTATTGTACTAAAAGGGTAATCTTATAAAGTCACATGCACCCACGTGTCTGGGATACCCAATATAGTAAAGTTCAGTTGCCGCTTTTCTCGGTCGGAGATAGCAGCAGCCGGGTGGAGCACTTGAAGTAGCAGCGAGGGATTTAATTGGTTGGTTGCTCAAGCCAACGGCAGTGCAGCGGATTGAAGTGTGGATGAACGGTTTGTAGAACTTGATACGTCCAGATTGAAAGCGGTCAAGCCAGGAGAAAAATCAAGATATTCCCGCCTTGCAGAGAGCGGCCGCAGGAGAGAACCTTGGGGAACCCGAAGGAGTTGTCAAGCAAGTTTTCTTTGGTGCACTCCGTACGGCAAGGCCGACCAGTGTGGCAGTGATTATCCACCCGCCTCGGAGAGCCTACCTTAGGTACCTTAAAATGATCTGGACTTGCTGGTAAGGATACTGTAGCGGCCACAGGCTGGTAAAGGTTTGTGTCTGCAGTCCCTAAGGCGTGTCCTGCAAGTCACGTTCAGATCTTGCGACCGTCTTGCGCCTTTTAGAAGCACCTTAGGTACCACACAAATTGGTCAACTCTTGTTTCGAATACACCGACCAGAATTAAGGTAGAGGTTGTGGTCTGTTCCTTTTGTTCCTGGAATTCACTGCTCCCACTTCCTTTGTTCCTTAATCCCCAGCCTTGTGTTTTGTTCCCTTATTATGTGCCCTTTTGTCACCTTGACCTGCCTTGCCCACCTTTTTGTCGGGCAGACGCGACCAGTCAGCTCGAACTGCTAGTCCTTCTGGACTTTTCTTTCCTCTAAACTTGTCTTAAAGATAAAAGAAAAGGTTCTCATACAAAGAACCACCCTGGATAGCAGTTCAGTAGCATAGTAGTTCGCTTTACGGGGATGGTTGAGAGGATAGGGATGGGTTGTTGTTGGTCGTGGTGATGAGGTAGAACTGAAAAGCCGGGCGGCTCACGGGCGGGCCTGGTGATATGAGGGTGATTTCTCTACTACTCCTGTTCGAGCCTAGCTGTAGTCACCTGATCTCTCCAGCCACGATTCTCCCCAATTCGACCAAGTAGTTTGCTCTGTTTGTATTGAGCTAAGGGGGAAACAGCCTAGCCCGTGCTTATGTCAGCTCCAACAATTGGGAGCATCTCAGGATGCCAGGTGGAGAGATACCGCGATAACATCATAGTACGGTCGGTAGTTATTCTTGGATTCCCCTGAGAAGCCAGGGTGAATGCAATAAGAAATTTATTTTTATCGTCTTCCGCGACTTGGTCTTCTTCATTCCTCACAATACAGGTGGACGTGTCATGGTTCGAGTATAATTGCTTGATTTGTTTGAAACTGTGCATGTGCAAGTGAACATACCATGGGGTCTCACGCAATGTCTCTGCGAGACCGTCAGGTCGGTAGGTTCCCCGATAGGTTGGAAATCATTCAATAAGTATAGGAAGTCGCTAACTGGTCTCATAGCGTCTATTCAGAAGATCCTCAATTTGAACCACGAGCCCCACGCAACGGATGATGCCCCTCACGATATATCAGCTCAAGGTCTCATCTCCACGCCTATTCTCAATGAAGATGGCGATCCCATTTGGAAGGTCTTAGTGTTCGACAACATGGGCCGGGATATCATCAGCAGCGTACTTCGCGTAAACGACCTTCGAGCTTGGGGTGTCACTATTCATCTGTACGGTCCTTGCCGTGCCAGGAGCATAGAATTGCAGCTAATCGTTGTCTTAAAGGAATCTCAACTCTACCAGATATCCTATCCCCGATGTCCCCGTTGTATACCTCGTTGAACCGACTCCTGCAAACATTCAAGCAATTACGAATGATCTCTCCCGTGGACTTTATTCTCCTGCCTATGTGAACTTTCTCTCATCCATACCTCGGCCACTTCTTGAAGACTTCGCGTCTCAAATAGCTTCCACCGGTACCGCGGAGCATGTTGCTCAAGTTTACGACCAGTACTTGAATTTTATCGTAGCCGAACCGGACCTCTTCAGCTTGGGGCTAGGCAACGACGCATATTGGAAGATCAACAGCGCCAAAACGAGTGATGAAGAGTTGGACGACATTGTTGACAAGATCGTTAGCGGCCTGTTCAGTGTCAGTGTCACTATGGGTATGTTTCAAACCTCTCCGCGCTTGAGAGTTAGCCGTTGATCATTCCTGGGATAAACAGGTGCGATTCCAATCATCCGTTGTCCGAAAGGCGGAGCGGCAGAGCTGATCGCGACCAAGCTCGACCGTAAACTACGTGACCATATTCTGAATTCGAAAGACAACCTGTTCTCCAGCACCAAGAAAACAGCCGCAGGAGTCCCTGCTTCACGACCGGTCTTGATTATCGTCGACCGTAATGTGGATTTGGTACCAATGCTGTCGCATTCATGGACCTACCAATCATTAGTACAAGACGTGCTTCAAATGCGGCTCAACCGGATAACCGTTGAAACTCCGATTGACGAGACGAACCCTGCCAAGGGCGTGGCAAAGAAAGTATACGATTTAAACAGCAATGATTTCTTCTGGAAGCGCAACGCTGGAGCACCTTTTCCTCAGGTGGCGGAAGATATCGATGCTGAATTGACGCGCTATAAAGAAGACGCAAATGAAATCACGAAGAAGACTGGGGCTTCTTCTATTGAGGACTTGCAGAATGACACCAGCGCTTCTGCGCAGCACCTCAAAGCTGCGATTACCCTGCTTCCTGAGCTGCGGGAACGCAAAGCCATACTGGACATGCACATGAATATAGCAACTGCACTGCTCAAGGGGATCAAAGACCGTCAGCTGGATAATTTCTTCGAGCTCGAGGAGAACATTACGAAACAATCAAAAACACAGATCATGGAATTGATTAATGATTCTGCGAAAGGCAGTAACCCGACCGACAAGCTCCGGTTGTTCCTTATTTGGTTCCTAAGCACAGAAACAGACCTATCCCGCGCAGACCTCAGCCAATTTGAAGAGGCTCTCACGCGCGCAGGAGTTGAGGATATCAGCCCACTGACCTACGTGCGCCAGGTTCGAGAGCTCACCCGGATGACCATGATGACGACTGCCGCACCGCAGCAGCAGTCCTCGGATTTGTTCCGTGGATTCTCATCACTTTCCAACCGCCTCACTGACCGCATCACATCCGGAGCATTGGGTGCTAATTTCGATTCACTCATTTCCGGTGTTAAGAATTTCCTCCCTGCAAACAAAGACCTCACCTTGACCAAGATCACCGAGTCCATCATGGATCCGTCCTCAGCCTCCAGTTCAGCAATCGCAAAAACCGAGAACTATCTCTACTTCGACCCGAGGAGCGCAAACGCACGTGGAGCTATACCGCCGGCGTCTGCGGCTCGCAATCCACAAGCCCCAGGAGCCCTTGGGGTGGTGGAACGAGGAACAAGCGCAACTTTTGGCCAGCGTCGCCAGGCATTCAACGAAGCAATCGTATTCACCGTCGGCGGGGGTAGCATGGACGAATATGGCAATTTGCAGGACTGGGTGCGCCAAACTAGCGGACAGCCGGGCGATGGTGCAGGGGCCGGCATTCGTGCTGGAGCAGGGACTATGGGTGGAGCTAGACGGAGAGTCGTCTATGGCAGTACGGATTTGATGAATGCTAAAGAATTCCTGACGGAGTCGTTGTCCAAACTTGGCCATGAAAGTTGATCCAACTTTCTCCATGGAGGCCACCTGTTTGTAAAGAAAATAGATACATCTCTTAACGTTACATACCTTAATAAATATCTTATGCTGTCATGATTCCACTGCCTCTCATCCTAATCAATACAAGCAGCAGAATGGCTAGCTATTGGTATGAATTGTTCTTTGTTTGGATTATTGAATTAGGGTCATTTACGGGGTTTGGCAGTTTGGCCTACGCACCTCACCAAACCACCAAAATATATATCGAAACTCTACGGACTTGACATCATCACAGCATGTCCAACATATAGTAGAATTTACCTAGTAAATCTCGACCGTAAATGACAAATTAGATATATTCGAAATCCAGATCATTCTTAAATTTCTTCCAGGGGTTCCACTTCTGGCACTTCACGCGCGTGAAGGGGTCCCTTGCAAGGCCTCTTCTACTAAATACTTCTCCAAACTAATTCATTATGTAGTAGATATCTACAGCTATTCTTAACCATTTCAGGCCTAGCTGGCCGCTGTGGTGTTAGAATAAGGTATGGAATTAAATCTAGATCTTGCATATCTTGCATATCAGTGTAGGGACCCATTACAGGCCAATGTGGAGTTAAAGTATATAGATATCTCTAGATCTTAGGTATCTTAATAGCATCTAGGAGACCCTTAAAGGCGCGATCTACTCCATTCTGCGAGCGTAGTTATCTCCCTTCCCATTAGGTTAAGTTCTCATGATGATAGTGGAAAAGGCTAATCTTCCGTAAATGTGTTTTCATCAGAGTGTTACCGCAGTCATCGCCTCTGCGGGTTGAAGATGCAAACAACAGGCAACTCATCAGGAAGAAACGATATTGAACCCAAAAGTTCTCTTGAGACACTGAGACATCATGAATGCAGCGCTGAAGCTCCTGTTCTTGAACTGGTCTGATGAAACGATCCAGTGTACATCCGGCCCTATCTCAGACTTCTCGACAAGATGTACATCGTACCGGGATCCTCATCAGAACTGAGGGATCTGCCGCTAATCAGGCTGTCGAATCCAATGCCGATAGTGTCGTGATGAAATGCCTTGCAAATTGACTGTAATGGCTTCCTGTCAGCGGTGAATCCCGATGGGACCGAGATTGACGTTCTCCGTGGGCAATGTCCTTTGTCTCTCTGTCTTGATATTGTTCTTGCTCCCGCCTTGATATTGTTCATCTCGACCTCATCACAATCAGGTCTCGGCAATTCTGKTCATTCTCTTTCAGCTTCTCAATATGGGCAAGCAAAGTCATGATGAACGCTTTTGTGG